TATTTTTTCTCCATTTTTTTCCCTATTTTCCCCCTATTTCCCCCCTTTTTTTGCCACATTTCCCCTCTATTTTTTTCTCTATTTATTCTATTTTTTCCCTATTTTTCCATTTTTATCTATCTTTAAAGTTTCCTTCATATTTTCTTTTATTTTAAAAAATATTTTCTATTTTCCCCCTTTTTCCTATTATTTTGCCCTTTTTTGCCATTTTTTTTCTATTGTTTTTCCTTTTTTTTTCTATTTTTCCTGAATTTCTATATTCCTTAAAGGCAAAACATTCCTTGCACCCTGTGTCACCACACTTCATTTTTACAATTTCAGCTGCGTTCAAAATGAGAGATTTTAAGATTTTGTTGTATTTTTTTTTTATTTTTATTTTTTAAAACCAAGATCTAAAATGATTTGTGTCCCCATCGAGGTGATGGAAAATCCCTGGAGGATCAAACCTGGCTTGGGGACAGGAGGGTTTGGGGTCACCTGATGAACTCCTTGGGAATGGTGTTGTCATTTTGGAATTTGGTTCAGCTTTTCTCAGAGCACAAGAATCTCCAAGAGAGTTAAAAATTAGATTAAAATTAAATTAAAAAAAAAAATTAATCTTAAAGCTGATAATATTTTCCTGCCTCCAGCCAACCTCCTCTGTAGGTAAAGGTGGATTTTGCAATTTGGAAAATCTCTGATTTGTACTAAGTCGAGTTGAAAATTCGATGTTGACTGTGTTTAAATTGTTTGGATAAAGCATCATTTATTTTATTTTTTATTATAAATTCTTCCCAGCCCTCCCAGCTGCTCCTGGAGTTTTTTTCCAGCCATGCCTGGTGGACTTTGTGCTGTTCCAGGATCTCATCCTGGAGCTCTCTGCTCTGGGGGGAATGTTCAGAACCCAAAGACAATTTAAAATCTCTTTTAAATTGAAAATTGAAAATGATGGATATCACTGCTGCTTTTTTGGCGATTTCCTGTGGCTGGACCATAAATTTGGGAATTTCAATTTGAATTTTTGGGGCTTTGTGCAGCCTTGGCTTCCCAGCTGCTCAGTGAACAGCCTGCTTGGCCACAGCTTTGTAATTTTGGGGCACAAATGGGATGTGAGCAATGGATTCTTTGCCAGTTTGTGGGTTTGTTGCAGTGTGGGATCCCGAGTGGGTTTTCTCACTCTTTTTTGGATAAGGATCCTTAACTCTGTGAGCAGCAGGCAAAGGAAGCAGGTGGCCATCAGGGGGAAGGAGAATTTTGACATTATCTTCCTAAATAATGATGAAAAGATGCAAAGAGGGGCTGGTGGGAGGGATGAACACGAGTGTTAGTGAAAGATAAACTCGGGAAAAAAGAAGGAAAACATCACATTGTACAACAGAATTTGTTATATTTAGATTTTTCTCCCTGCTAGGGATAATTGTGATATTCCTCCACAAGTGAACTGTGCATTTAAATCTTAATTTCAACTGGGAAATATCAGAATTCAAGGGCTATTTTCCAGCAGGAATTCCAGCTCCTCTTGCCATTAATGCTTCTCCATGAAATGATCCATGGCAGTGAGGACAGAGGGAAGAACCCATCTGAAAATCTCACTCCAAGTCATTTGCAGGTTTTTAGAGAAACCCCTCGTGATCCTCATGGAGGAGAGAAATGTCAGCTCATTCTTTCTGCCCTGATTTTTTTCCCCCCCAGCCTCTCTCCAAATGGAAAGCTCAGCTGGGAAAAGGAGGACAGGATGGTCCCCTGGCATTGCCAAAATTCTTTTCTGTCCTGGCTGCACTCTGGGTGATTGGCAGATTATTGGCAATGGAAGCCCAGCCTTTAAGATGAATGATCAGATGTGACTCACACATTTTCCATATTGAAAATGACCTTTGGCAGCGATTTCCTTATGTAAAATATAGACTGGCCTTTTGTAGTTAAAAAAAAAAAAATATTAAAAATCAGAGGCTAAATATGCAATAATTAGTTGGTATGTTTATTTTTTAGGAATATTTTCACCTGTAATTTGACAGATCATTTGGTAAACTACATTAAAAATACCAAATACCTGCAGGTTGCATGCATTTAAATTTTTTTTTTTTTTTGAAAGTTGTGTCCAAGAAGAAGCAAATTGCTGCTCCAGTCTCTCCAAGTTCCTAATGCTGTTGGGGAAAGGAATATGTGAGCACAAATGGAAAATTCTGGGGCCTGTGCAGACACTCTGGGGTTGTGAAACTCCCCCTGACCCCTGGAATATTTTCCTTCCATCTTCCCCCTGAGTACTGGCAGCACTCCAAATTTGCTTCCCTTGGGATCTGAGGGAATATCCAAAGTTTTCCTCCTCCTTTGTGTTTTCTGTGTTTTACAGCAGGAGGAATGGTTAAAATTGTTTCATCTTCATCTTGGAGGGATGGAAGAAAGGAATTGGAATAATCCAAGGATGCACTTGGCTCTAATGAATTTTAATGGATTTTTGTCAGCTTGGCCTAATATTTTGATTTTGTGTAGAATTCCATTTTTAATTTTGGTTCTATCCAGCAGATTTCTAAATAAATCTGAAGACAGGGACTAGAACATCTCACAGGGAAGCAAATTCTTTCTCAGCCTCCACAAGTGCCTGCCAGGAGGGTGCAGGAATTGGGAACTGGGCTCTGCTCCCAGGAAACAGGGGCAGGATGAGAGGGAGAATCTCAGGCTGCTCCAAGGGAAATTCAGATTGGACATCAGGAAAAATTTCAAGCAAATCCATAAAAATGAACATTCCTGAAACAAAGCAACCCCCCCAATTCTTTATTTTATGCCGATTTTTTAGTGCTAAGCCTTTTTTTTTTTTTTTTCAATACAAACTTAATAAGAGCAAAACGCTAAGGACTTTCTAAATGTAATTTTATTGCATTTATCTCTCCAGTCGAAATTAATTATTCAGAATGTTCATTAAAAAGAAGCTTTGGTAAGTGACATTTGAAACAGAAGTGATTGCAAGGGAGATGGTGATAAAGAGCAGTGTCTGAAAGGAAGTGTAAAATACTTGAACATTTTAAACTGTGGGTTGTGAGAAGTTCCAGGAGAGCTGTTTGGATAATTTGGGAAATGTAAGAACACACACACACACACCTTGCTGCTGGCCTGGGAGCTGCCAGCACTGCCACATCTCCCTGTTTTATCAAGTGCTGGGTGGGGTTTTTAAATGTTTGGGGCAGAGAAGAGAAAAGGAAATTGGCTTTTTTAAAAACTAAAAATGTGTGGGCTTTTCCCCTTGAACAAGTGTCTGGAAGTGCCCTAAATCCTGATTTTCCAGAGAATAACAGGAAAGCAACAGGAC